AACTCCAAATTAACCATTTGATTAATGTCTAGAACAATTTGGTTGGAAAAGAAAAGTATTTTATTAGTATGGCAATTAAATGTGAATAAATTTATACAAGATTAAAAAAAACCATGGACATGTAATTTTTCCAAGATGAAGATTTAAAATTGCCAACTTGGTGAGGAACAAAAGCATATCAATCATTGTGGCTTTTTGTTTATGAGGCTCGCTGTAGATTCTCATTCTCTTCTCTTGTCAACTTCGAACTTCAAACAGTCATTTTCAATATAACAATTGGGAAATAAAGTAATTGAAACTGAAATTCTAATTACATTGTTGCTTAGAGAGAAGGCATCATTATCAGCACAAAACTAGGTTTTTAATTACATATTTGTCACCACAACAAGTTATTAAATATGTTAGACAAATGGAAAATGTACTTTACATACCTTTGGCTTTGTCTTTGTCTTTATATAGTTTACGTCTGAACTGAGAGCAGTATCTTGAAAAACAAATCTTTGATTATAAAAGCTTACCATCAAATCATTCTGATATATCGAGCATAGAGCGATTCTAACTAGTAACTACAAATATATATACCACGTGGTTGGTGGTATAGTGAACTTGAAATTTAAGAATGAATATTCAAAGTCATTAGTTCAACTCCATTTGGAATAGGTGATTTATGTCTTAAATATAGTATTGTCAATGGTTGGCGCAGGACACTGAAGAGATTATGGATCAAAGATCCGCAACTCCCACGGATTTTCCAAAAAAAAAAATTACAAAAATATATTAAGAGTACCACTAAATAGTTAATTCAAATGGAATCCCCCCCCCAAAATTTGGTTATAAATTCTTATCTAATTCAGCAATATTAATTTGACTTATATAAAAATATTAATTTAGTACACCATACATGTTATATCGTTAATAAAAATTATCTATTTATGACTATGTGAGTTTAATTTAGTAAATGTTATTACAATTCACCCAAAGTCAATTTTATTATTTTTCTAATCATCACCCGAAATCTTGTTTTCTACCTAACTTTTACTTCAGTCTAAATTGACATTTCATTTAGCCACGACATGTAGCATAGTGTGCTGTGTTAGTGTTGTTTATGTGTCAACACCAAAATTTCAATCCACATAATATATATTGTTGAATAAAATAAAATCATAAAGTTCATTTAAAAATGATATTAGCATCACCTTTTACGCATCCTATATATTTCTACTCCCAATCTTCACACTGATGAGACTTGAGAGACTTTAACCTTAATATAATTATATATAGTAAGTTGGTAACATAGTGAAACTGGTACAAATGCGATCAAAAAGTGCAAAGGGAAAGTTGGAAAATATCTAACAAAGGGACTAAATAAAATTAATTATTTATTAATTGAAAATCCACCAATAACGGGAAAACAAAAATTTGTAATAGAAACCTACATGAAAACATAAATTATGATAAGCAATTTTGAAATCACACAAACACCAAAAACCTAATTAATTTGCTGAAAAACCTCGTTGACTCAACCACGAAAATAGAAATAAAAATTAAACAGCTACTTTTTGTATATGCACGCGGATCAAGAAAAACAAGAAATAGTAAAAAAATTATTAATGATTATTAACTCGTAAAAACTCTCCGAGATCTTCACCTTAATTTGTGCTACATTTGGAGATACGCATTGTACGCTTCAAATTGCGATGCGTTTAGGAAACTCTGCTCCTGCAGTTTCGCCACGTACGGTGTCGAGGACATACCAAGTAGCGTTTCCGGAAACGCGTTTTGATTGTAAAACGCAGTCGTTGTTTCATCGTATAGCGTTTGACCTTCCCACTGGCTTCCTCCTAGTGACGGCGGCGGCGAGCACGGTGCGTTTGCGGTTGAGGTATCTGCGGCTGCAGCATCAGAAGAATCGTCGGGGATGTTGACGGTTGTGATATCGTGGATGCTTGATCGGCGTTTGTCTTTACCACCGTTGACTTGCCGTATGAAATACTTCTGAGCGTGACTCGCGACTTGCGTCGGCGTTCTTGTGGTCACGAAGTTTCGTGCTATGTTTCTCCAATCTCCTTTTCCATATTTCTTCAAACCCATCAGAAATTGTCTGAAACATTCATAAACCGTACCGAAATCAAACAAAATCCCAATTAACCCAAACCGACTCTACCAGAGTTCATACAACAACAAAAAAAAAAAAAATTATCATTAACATGCATTATAATAGATTTATGGTCGAATTATGGTCGATAAAAACACTAACACAAACAACCAGACTACAAATCTTGTATCGTATTATACAATTAACCACACGCCTACATTAAACCATCCCACACATCAAAATGCCTACGAGAATTTAAAGCCATACCTACATCAAATATTTATCTGCTCTATATAAAGTTTACCAATGGATTTATAAACTCCATAAATAAATAAAAGTATATAACTTTGTATTTATTTATATAGACATGTATAGACGATATATAATGTGCGTGTGTGTCTCTCTGACTAACCCATACGTACGCAATATATAGACAAAGCACTAAAGATGCATTTGTTTTGGTGGATGATTGTATTGTATGT